ATAACCGTTGGAAAAATAAGTTCGATTATGGGCGGTCTCTAAGAAATCGCGCGCTTTGCTGGTGTATGACGGTTGAAGATCCTTATCGCGAAAATCGGTTGAATTTTCTCTGAAATACAGTTCTATATTTTGCAACAATTTCTCCCCCCTTGGGAAGGTAATCGACACGATTCGCTGAAATGATTACTTTCGCATTCGAATTTGATTCAATAATTTGTCCTGACGACCATTTTCCATGTCCGTTCTGACCATCATTGAGTGTTGCATAGTCACTAAGTTTAGAGAATTTGAATCTTGTGAAAAAACGATGAATAAATTCTAGATATTTAAGATTGAAATTGCGCAAATATTTCCAGAAAGAATTCAACGATGATGGTGGTGACAGTGTGACTGTAGATTTGATTGTATCATTGATTACTTTCATCATCATTGATAAAGAATTAATCGATATGAATGCCGTTAATGATGATGATATCGATGTTGATGTTGATGACAAAACTGCAAATTGATATGATTGATGTACTGGTTGAGAAATAATTGCAATGGCTAACTTTATTGAGATCAAACCATTTAGTTGTTGTTGATTAACCTGCAAAGAATTAGTTGTTGAAATTTTCGATGATGATTTAAATGGTTGTCGCTTGTTCTGAAATTGATACAAACGAGGTGAATTAGTCAATTGAACGTTTTCAGACGATGCAGATTCGGTAAGTTGTTGTTGACTAATCTGAATCGCTGCTGTTAATTGTTGTATGTTGGACGATTGTTGTTGTATATTCAATGATTGATAATGACTTGTGATGTTGTGATCTAAATCGAAATCGTTGTTGGCGATTGGAAATTTTGTTCGATAAATCATTGAATTAAAGGGAAGATTGATATTGTCGGTAAAACGTTGAATAATGTTGAATTGCTGATCATCAATTTTACCATGAACAATATATCCAAGAGATGTTCTACAGATTTTGAACTGTTCGATATTTATGTCTACATTGAGAACGCTAAAACGATTTATATCACCGTTGCCAATTAGAATGTCGACCGGAATGTTTTCGTCGTAGAAATTGATGTCGATCATTTTATTGACTTGTTGTTGAACGATTTCTGGTAATGAATTGAATTTAAATTGACAAATTGTATCATCGATAGTTAGTTTAAATTCTGTGATGTTGCCATCTCGATCTGGTAATTTCATGATTGTGAAATAATGACCAATGAGACTTGGATTGCTACCATACCCGTTAATTCGAATGGGCATAGCTTTGAATTTCGGTAAATTTAACAATTTCACCAACTTGTTTGAGATGAAAGATAATTTGTATTTGCCATCAAAAATGACACGGGTTTTGATATTATTGATTTTTGTCGTTAACGTTTGAGAATATTGCGATGAAACATCGGTTTTTGCTAAAGCTGTGTTAACCGACTGATTTCCAATAATTGATTCTGATGATGTGTTTGTTGATGATGCTGATTGTAAGGTACCGACCGATGATGATGGTGTACCGACTAATGATGATGTGATAGCGACAAATGCTGATGATGAACCGATTGATGCTGATGATGTATTGACTGATGTTGATAATGTATCGACTGATGTTGATGATATATCGACTGATGTTGATTTACCTACAGATGTTGATGATTCACTTGTTGAAGTATTTTGAATTCCTTGAAAATTGAATTTTACATTAACGTTACCACCTGATGTTGGTGATAATAGTGATGATGTTGATATTGGTGCGAATGTTCCATCAAAATTTGTATTAACATTTGTTGTACCGGAATTTGTTGTTGATGTGGCTGTGACTGTTGATGAAGGTGAATGTCTATTGAGGAAATTGTTCTTCAATACAGCGATCACTGAAGTTTCCTTGACGTTCGAATTTGAATCATTGTTGTTGTTGTTTGCATTAGAATTGTCACGGCTATTTCGACCTCCTTCTGTATTTGAATGTGGTCTGAACGAATCGATAAATGAATTCTTTTTATTTTGGTTGTTGATGTTGTTAAGAGATGAACGATTGGATTTCGATGAGGACAAAATCCCAGTCGCAATCAATGCGGCATTGTTCGTTGTTGTTGTTGAAGAATTTTCAATATCATTAATCGATGAAGGTTGTGTACAAAGATTAATATGTTGTTGTTGTTGATGACGTAATGATATTGTAGCATCATGTGATTGAAGTTGAATTGATTCACGATGATTATTATCATTATTAGATTTGTTTGCTGTCGATGTCAATGTTGTATTGTTTGTTTGTCTACCAATACCCAAACCAGCGGATATTAATGACGAATGACGAAACTGTTGTGAAAAAACATTCGAATATGATCGAGTTTGACTATTTGTTGATGTCGTTGAATTTTGCTGTAATTGTTCAAATAATCCATCGTAATAATTGACAGGCAAACGAACGGTAGTAACATTTGATGAATTTGTTGATGATGATCCAGATTTATCATTATGTGGATGAACAGTAAGATAAACACGACGATCATTATTTTTGAAACAATCCTGATTATTTGAGCTGATAATAGTAGATGGTGATGATGTACAACGAATATTATTATTACTGAACTTTTGATGATGATTATGATTAAGATTACTGTCTTGGAATGCAGATTTAGGTGCACTTGATGATGTTTCTTGTGTCATCATTTTTCCAACAAAATCTTGTGCTTTAGATTTTGTAGTAGTAGTCGTTGTTGTTGATTCTTTTGCACCGGTTGATGAAACAGATTTCCAAGAAGATGATGATGTTGATGAAGATGTACCAATCGATGTTGTTGGAATTGCTGTATTGTTGATGACTAATTCAAAGGCAGCATTTTTGAATTCTGGCCGTTGAAACGCCGAACCATTGAATTTTGGCATGTCTTCAGCTCTCATTTTCGTTGGCTGACCATGATTTTGTACGTTGTTGATAGGTGGCGATTGACTTGTTGCTATTGGCGAAAGTTGTAGTAGTGGTTGAACGTTGTGTACTGAGCATTGTGACGGTTGTATTTGAGAACTGTTCGGAACCGCTAAACCGAGATTGATCGAATTTATTGGTGATAACGAACGATGAGAATTGTTGCTGACATTGAGATTGGACAATGACGATGACAAATTTGATGATTCCAATTTCAACTGTAAATTATGAATGAGATCGGACATTCCAGGGAACGTAGCAATAAATTTGTCCAATTCGTTGAACAATGATTGACAATGTTTGAAAGTAGTGGATGACACATTGTGAGACAATTTGTTATCGATATTTGTGTAGAGAATTATGAATTTCGTAATTGCAATGATTTTGTCGTTGTAATCGGTATTGTTATCACGATTATGATCCCAAAGCTCTATCACAATGTCATCGTAATCTGATTGTAAAGACAATGCTTTGCCTAAATCGGGTAAAGTGCCTTTTTGCATGTCATTGAACATCTTTAAAATTGCAATGCGAAAATCTTTTCGTTGCTTTAAGAGATCGTCGACAGAGGATTCGTTTTCCATGCTGCACGATTTGAACCAAAAATTGTAACGATAATAATTGACCTGACGTAAGTATTATCCAAATGTAAAGCTGTAGTACGAGGTATTTGCACCTTGCGTTCGAAGATAATGACTGAACGAGGAATACGCAACTTACGTTCGACGAAAATAACTGAACGAGGTATACGGACCTTGCGTTCGATGAAAATAACTGACCGAGGTACACGGACCTTGCGATCGACGAATGAATTGCTGAACGAAGTATACGCTTCTTGCGTTCGACGAAATTAACTGAACGAGGCTTACGGACCTAGCGTTCGATGAAGATAACTGACCGAGGTACACGGACCTTGCGATCGATGAGAATAACTGAACGAGGCTTACGGACCTTGCGTTCGATGAAAAGAACTGACCGAGGTACACGGACCTTGCGATCGATGAAAAAATGGATAACACAAAATTGGATTTCTAATCAAAATGGATAAAAATTTATAATGATTTTATTGACATAATTGGGTTTGTAACATAGTTTACAAAGAATGAATGATAAAGAACAATGTTTGAGTCATAATACTGAAACAAAACATTGTGATCAAAATATTAATGAAATATATGATGATTGTTGAGCGTGTTGTGACTCGCTTTTATATGTTTTCTTAATAACCGTTGGAAAAATAAGTTCGATTATGGGCGGTCTCTAAGAAATCGCGCGCT